TCACTGCAGAGTTTTGCTTGTTAAATAACTCATGTATGAACTCAAATAGTGTATACTCTTTTGGATCTAGTTTATTTTGCTGAGTTTAGTTCTTTCCCTATAACTTTATTGAGATATGTTTTATAGGCCATAAATCTCACCTATTTAAAGTACACAGTTCAGTGATTTTTGGTATGTTCAGAGAGTTATGTAACCATGAGCCTGATCCTTATTTTTAGAACTTTTCAGTATCCCTGAAAGAAACATTATACCCATCATCTTTCTAGTTTCTTTTTTTTCCTGTCCAAGTTACCACTAATCCACTTTTTTGAAGATATTCCCCCTTTAATATCTGTGGGAGACTGGTTCTAGAATTCTTCACAGATACAAAAACGCAAGTCTCTTAAATAAAATGGCGTATAACCTTTGCATGAGTTTCTTCCCCTATACTTTAAACTATCTCTGAATTAACTTCTAATTCTCAATACAATGTAAATGCTATGTCAATAATTTTTATAGGAATAATGACTAGAAAAAAGTTTATACATGTTCAGTATAGATATAATTTTTTTTCTAAAATATTTTTGATCCATGATGGGTAGAGTCCACAGATGTGTAACCCATGGATATAGAGGGCTGACTGTGGATTTGACTGTTCTGGACATTTCACATAAATAGAAGCATACAATACGTGACTTTTTGTGTCTGGCTTCTTGGCATGTTTTGAAAGCTCCCTCATGTTGTAGCCTGTATCAGTGCTTCTTTCTTTTATATGGCTCTATAATACTTTGTTGTGTTACCACTTTAGTTTATCCATTCTTCAGTTGATGGATACTTGGGCTGTTTCTCCTTATTGATCACTGTGATTAATACTGCGATACACATTTGTGTAAAAGTATACATGTGTCTTCATATATAAATGGAAGTAGACATGGGAACTCTATGTTTAGCATTTTAAGGTAGTGACACTCTTTCAAAAATGGCTGCATCATTTTACTTTTCCACCAATAATAGAAGGTTCTCCTTTCTCCATTATCTTCAAACGCATCAGTTACTGCCTTTTTAAAAATTGTAGTCATCCTAGTGTGTTTTGTTTTGAGATGGGGTCTTGCTATGTTGCTCAGGCTAATGTCAAACCCCTTGGCACAAATGATCCTTCTGCCTCAGCCTCCTGAGTAGTTGGAATTGTAGGCAGGCACTACTATGCCTAGGGGGGAAAAATCGGTGGGGGATATTGGGGTTAAATCCAGAGGAGCTTTACCACTGAGCCTCATCCCCAGCCCTTTCTTTATTTTTTATTTTGGGTCAGGGTCTTACTAAGTTGCTTAGAGCCTTGCTAAATTGCTGATGCTGTCCTTGAACTTGCAATCCTCTTGCCTCAACTCCCTAAGACACTGGGATTACAGGTGTGCACCACCACACCTGGCATAATTTTTAATTCTGGAGTTCCGTTTACCTATTTTTTCCTTTGTCACCTGTGCTTTTGTTGTCATAGTTAGAAATCATTTTTAAATAACTTTATGGTTTTAGTTATCAGGTCTGTGATCTATTCTGAGTTAATTTTTGTGTTTTGTAGCCAGTAGGATCGCACATTCATTCCTTTGCATGTTGATAGCCGTTGTCCCAACATTCCTGTTGCTTGGTCTTCATTGAATTGTCCTGGCACTCTTGTTGACAATCAGTTTACCATAATGTGAAGGCTTTATTTTGGGGCTTATAAAGCTGTCCTTTGATTTTCTGTCTGTTTTTATTCCAATACTACTCTGTCTTGATTTTTGTACCTTTGTGTATGTGAGTTTTGAGATTGGGAAGTATGAGTCCTCCAACTTTGTTCTATTTTTAAGCTTATTTTGTCTATTAAGGGTCTTTTGATATTTTTTCCAATTTGGATTTTAGGATAAGTTTATTAATTTCTGCATAATGCCATCTTGAGATTTTGGTAGTTATTGTGTTGAATTTGTCAGTTTAATCTGAGGATACATGAAGATGGAATGCCTTTCCATTTATGCAGATCTTTAATTTCTCTCAGTGTTTTTTTTTTAAAATAGCTTTTAGTATAAAAGTCTTGAACCTTTTGTTAAGTTTGTTCCTGCGTATTTTATTCCTTTTGCTCCCATTATGAATGGGATGCTTTTAAATTTTTTTTATTTAGAAATATTCATTGCTAGAATATAGAGACACAGTTGATTTATATATAGTGATCTTTTATTTTTGTCATAGTAGGGATTGAGCCCAGAGTCCTCTACTACAGAACTACATCCCAGCCCTTAAAAAAAAAAAAATGTTTGATATAGTATCACTATGTTGCTGAGGTTGACCTTAAACTTGTTATCTTTTTTCCTTAGCCTCCCAAATGGCTGTATTACAGGTGTGTGCCATCATGCCTGGTGCATATATGATCATATATACTACTACCAGCATTGGTTTTTGAGATTCATCTTTGTTTTAGTTAGCTTTTTTTGCTGCTATGACTAAAAGACCTCACAAGAATAATTTTAGAGGAAGAAAAGTTTGTTTGGGGGCTTATGGTTTCAGAGGTCTCGGTTTATAGAGATGGCTCCATTCGTCAGGGCCTGAGGTGAGGCAGAAGATCATGGTGGAAGATTGCTCACATGATGATCAGAAAACAGAAAGAAACTATGCTCAGCTCAACAAATATATTCCCCAAAGGCATGCCCCTAATGGCCTACCTTCTTCAGCTACACCCTACCAGCCTACCTGGGGATTAATTCGCTGAGTGAGTTAAGGCTCTCAGTCATTTCACCAGTCATTTAGCCTTTAAACCTTCTTGTGTTTCTTCACACATGGCTTTGGGGGAAAACCTCATATCTAAGCCATAATAGTTGTTTTGTTGTCTTTGTTGTGTTACACAATAATTCATTCAGTAATTCATTCTTTTTGATGACTGGGTAGTAATTCATTCTTTTTGATGACTAGTAGTAGTATTGTTTATTCAGTTTCCTGTCAAACATTTGGGGTGCTTCTAGGTTGTAGTTATTATGACCTATGATGCAGTAAACATTTTGCGTACACATCTTTTTGTGGGTATATGTTTCATTGTCATGGATAAATACTAGGTATAGAATTTCTGAGTTTTAGGGTAGATATGTGTTAACTTATTGGTAACTATGGAAGAGTTTTTCAAAGTGGTTTTACTATTTTATATTCCACCATCAATGAATTAGAATTTCAGCCATTTTATTTTCTTACTAACATTGTTAATCTTTTTTTTTGTTTGTTTGTTTTAACCATTCTGGTGAAAATACAGTGATATTTTAATTTGCATTTCTTTGGTGAATAATGATGTCAGGTACTGTTTCTTATGCTTATTGACCAGTGGTTTGTCTTATTTTGAAGTTTCTAAGTCTTTACCATTTTTTTTTTCAAGTGAGTTGTTTTTTGTGCGTTGTAGATATTCTTTGTATGTTCTGAATATGAGTTCTTAGTTTTTAGTTTCTCATTTTTTTAAACCATTTAATACCATTATAGGAAAGTTTGGATTTGTATTTATGTGTGTAAATCTCCTAGAAAGTTTACTTTTTATCATTACTAATATTTTATCGTTACTAATTTATTATTGATTGTTATAAGTATATCTTAAAAAAATGAAAAATGTGTCCCCTATTAATATTGCTAGGATTAGACCATATATCTCTTTACATTGTTCAAATCAGGTGTAATAGTGACATATGACAATGGTGCTATTTGCCTTTTCTTGTTTCAGATTTTTAAAGGAAATTGCTTAGCTTTACTAAGTATATTATCTATTATTTTATGGTGGGTATTTTTTATAGCATTGAGAAATTTCTTCTCTTTTTAGTATTTTTCAAGTAGCAGTGCATATTGAATATTACTGGATTTCTTTCAGACATCTATTAACATTATATGGTTTGTCTAATTTGTTCTATGAATATGATAGCTGTTTGCTCAATTAAAAAGTCATTGACTTCCTGGGATAAATCCCTTTTGGTCTTGGTGCTATTGAGTTCAATCTGTTTAGTGTTTTTTGTTTATGATTTTTATATCTGTTTTCATAAGTGAGATTAGTTTTCTTTCTTAATGTGCTACATTTATATGAATTATTTATTGGTTTAATGATACTTAATATAATAATTAGGTAGTATTGCATTTTTCTTTATATTCCATGAAGTTTATGGACATTTTAAAGGATTTACCAGTAAAATTCCATGCCTACAGGGCCTTTTGTTTTAGGTAATTTTTTGATAGTACAAATAACTGTAGAGAAATTTTTAGCATTATCTAATTTGCATCTAATTTATATGAGTAGAAGTCTCATTTGAGAATCCTACATAAGTGAAAGATCAGATTTGTATAATGGTCAATGAATAAATATCTCAACTATAATCTGTTTATTTATTTATTTTACTTTTTATCTGTGAACTATATAGCTTTATTTGAAGGTTCTTATAATTGATATGATCCAGGTGTAAAAATTTCTATTGATCCCCCTCTTAAGTTAGAGAAAAAGCAACAGCTTCAAAATGTGAAATATGATAAATAATTATTCTGATCAGTTCTACCACTATATACTAAGATAATTTGTAGCTGTGTAAAGTATAAATGACAGACCGAAAAGTTCTAAATGTGGAGATTGGGAAGTATAAAATGAAATGACAGATCAGTGTGCTTTTGGGCTGTCCCCCTCCACAGATAACAGCACTCTGAGATCCTTGAGGGTAGAGCTTTGGTCCTTTTTGTCTGTCCAACTCAGGTGAATGGTAGTGGCTTTATAATAGCTATGAGATGGCAGAGGGCTTATTTCAATTCCATCTAATGAATTTCAGTGACCATCTCCCTGCCTTGGTGGACATGAGTGGCAGCTTCCTCCCTTTGGGGAGTCTTACTGGGAGTACTTTGCAAAGGGTGATGTCAAGTAGATCCTCTAACTCATAACCCAGGAGTCCATAGAATTCTGATGTGTTTGAATGTGTTGTGACTTGTTTTTATTTCATTTCACTTATCAATTTCAAAATATAACACTTATTTTCTTTATTTAACAGGCGTGAAACCTCGTTCTGGTTGGGCCATTGACCCTTTTGGACATTCACCAACAATGGCTTATCTTCTAAAACGTGCTGGATTTTCACATATGCTTATCCAGAGAGTTCATTATGCAGTTAAAAAACATTTTGCACAGCATAAAACACTGGAGTTTTTTTGGAGACAGAATTGGGGTATGTAGGATTTGATGAAAGCAGAAGATCACACTTGACCTAGATGTTGTTTCACAAGGGTTATAAACTCATGACATTGTTGGTTTTATTCAGTGTCATTATTAAAATTCATATTGACTAAAGATGGTCATTCTCTTATTACAGTTACTTTCCAGGATGTTTGTGTCAAGATTCTTTTAAGCAGTGATGTTTATGTTTATTCATAGATCATTGAATCTTTATTATGTCTAAAGGAAGTATGGAATACAGAGATTAGTATTGTGCCAATAATGCTATCATTTGCTTCTGGTTTAAAAAGCACATGCTTTATCACAAAATTGAACATGCATGAGAACTGCTATTTAGTCTTTTGTCTCATATTCAGCCTGTGTCCTTCCTTTTGCCTTTCTTGTCTCTGTACCTTGTAGGAATTGCCCTTGAAAACCTTAATCCTGTCCTCCTGGAAGAGCCTTCATGTTGTCTGTAGTGTCTGTTTTCATTCTGTTCTGTAGGCATGCAGATGTTTCAAGGACATGCTTCTGCTGGCCTTTGTTGAGGCAGAGGAGACAGAACCGTGGCCTAGTGGGAGGCTTTCCCTCTCCCAATCCCCAATTATCATTTTTTCATTTATTTTTATTTATTGTTTTTTTACTGTAGGCCATACTTTATTCTATGCTTTTTATATCTGCTCTCTTATTTAGCCTTTATTACCATCCTTTAAATTACATTCATTACTATCCCTTTTTGATGGTGAAGAAATAGAGGTTTAACTATGTGAAACCATTTGCTAAAGTCAGACAGGTTACGGGTAACAGAGGTTTAGATCTAGTTATGTGCAATCCTGAAGCCCAAGCTCCTAACTCCCTGGCATTAACTTCTCAGTAAGATTTCATCTTGAAAACAAGATTTTGTTGCTAAAATGATGTTAGGAAATTTCTACATTACATCATACTTTCTTTCCTATATAATCTATATTCCTTAGGTGTTTCAGAAAAATCATTTGTATATCTAGACAATAACTTTATTACACATAACTTCTGTTTTTTTTTTTCAATAAGGAAAGCAACTAGCTATGTAATTTTTTATTCTGGAAAATTAAACCTGTAAGGAGGACAAGAATTTGTAAGGGGTTATATCCTGTGTAGTTTCATTGAATGCAAAGGAGCATTTGAAAAACAAAGGATTGTTAATTTGCCCATAAATATCAGTAAGAAATTATTGAATACTTTGATATATTTAATACTGTGCAAGGAAGAAATATAGAAAACATCCTTTCCTGTAAGGAAGTTATTGTCTAATTTGATAAAATGCAGGCCCAATTAAAGGCAGTGGATAAAATTAAATATATATATGAACTGCTAAGTAGTGAGGTATAAGGCAAGGTAGGTGGATGATGAGTATGTTTTCATCTGTAGGAGAAAGGAAGAGGAAGTTTCTGTCAGTTCTGGGACTTGTAGTAACCTGTGTGCACATAGCAAGTATTGGTGAACAATATTCCTGGTGCCACACCTTTGAATGGGCTTCATTGAAACCACTGATAACACAGAAACATAAAAGTTTTAATAGTTTTAAAAATTTACAAAAGTGATAATTATCTTAACTAAATAGCTAAAATTGGAATATTTTAGAACATAAGATACATTTGAACATGTTGCTTTTTGAAAGATATCAATAAATTGAGCTTGTATTGTTTTCCCCCCCCCTTTCTTTTGTAGCACTGGGGATCAGACTCAGGGCCAATCCTTAAAGGGTATGCTAGGCAAGAGTTCTGCCACTGGACTACATCCCCAGCCCTTTTTATTTTTTGAGACAAGTTCTCACTAAATTGCTGAGTCTGGCCTTAGTTATTCTTCTACCTCAGCCTCCTGAGAAACTTGGATTACACCTGGAATTACTGGCTCTGGTTCTCATGAAGCAGTTATTTTTATTTTTTAGAAATGTAAATGTTGCTTTTTTGTTTTTCTTTTGTTTTTATTATAAAGCAGTAAATACCCATTTCTGGAAATTGAAAATCCATACATAAATAAAGGTAGGAGAAGTTGTTTAAAGCTTAGGATCACACTTCTGAGGATAACCACTTTTAACCTCTGTTTTAAGTGGTCAAGTCTTACTTGTGGTGGGCATCAGCTCTTTCTAGGGCAAGATCTTAACAAATGTTGCTCTTGAGGTTTTAATTAAAAATTATTCTCCTTCAGTAATCAGTGCTCTTTTTCTACATTTTTTTTGTTTGCTTTGTTTTTGTTTTTTAAATTTACCCCCGCCCCCCAGAAAAAAAAAAAAAAGTCCCCTTGACTCACTTTTGGTGAACATCAGGATAGACTCTGGGAACTTTCCTGTGTTGTGCTTTCTCTCCTCAGTGCAAGAGGTGAATAGGCATTTGACTAGTGTTTTCATAATCCCCTGCCCCACCCTTCTTTTGTTCTTTCAGTTTCTTTGTTTTCTCTTTCACTCAGGCCCTCTAGCTAAATATCTTGGTCCCCCAGTATGTACTATTGCCTGGCAAGGGACAGATATGGCAGGTATTATGAAACAGGGGTAGACAGCCTCATGAATTTGGATGAACCAGTTGTAATTTTAACTTCAAGTCAGTTGGTATCCTTCCAGGTCAGCAGATGCTGGTTCTTTATGGGGCTTTTTGCCCATACTATATTTACATAGAAAAGGTAAAGAGAGGCTGAGATATATATTTTCCTTCAGATTAAAGCTATTAAACGCTTCTGGGGTATATATAGTGGTAGTTAAAGGGCTGTTGATTGAAGATAGAGCTTGCATTATATACGTGTAAAGTAATGGCATCATTGAGCAGTTTAGGGGAAAACATATTTTGTAAATGCAAGTTTGTTTGTTGGCTTTTTATTTTAGATCTGGGATCTGCCACAGATATTTTTTGCCACATGATGCCTTTCTACAGCTATGACATCCCTCACACTTGTGGACCTGATCCTAAAATATGCTGCCAGTTTGACTTTAAACGGCTTCCTGGAGGCAGCTATGATTGTCCCTGGGGACGCCCCTCAGAAGAAATATCTTCTGAAAATGTCCAGAGAAGGTATGAAAACATGTATTTCGTAAGACAACATCATGAATAAAGTAGCTACTTAGCTGTGAGTTGCTGAGGTTGAATAAATAGCTTCAGTAGCCAGCATTATCCTTATCTTAAGTATTCATTCAAACAAGATCTAAGGCAACTTAAAAATGCCAGATTTGACTATGCCTTTTATGTGTTATAGTTTAATGGAAATGGAACAATAGAAGATCAATATACAGTGGCTAACCCACAATGCACTATTATTACCACCTCCTTTGCCCTCCTTATAAAAGCTTTCTACTGTGTTTGATTGATTTCATATACTTTTGTTGATAATAAAACTTCTGGTCTCCATTGTATAAATTGGTAAGAAAAGCAACTCAACTGCAAAAACACATTTGTTGAAATGGAACACATAAAGAGTGTAATTATCTTCCCATAGTAACAACTTCAATAATAGTGAATATCGCCCAGCTCTGATGAATATACAGCTTTGCATCTTTCTGATATTTTTGACTTATAGAAAACTTTAATTAGGAATATTTATACTTAGACATTATTTAAGTAAAATAATCAAAGAAATGAAACATTTCTTTAGAATACAATTGTGCTAATGAAGGACTCATCTCATTAAAACAAGTTACCTATAGTTTCTAACTTCGGTGCTTTTAAAGTTTAATTTCTTCACTTAAAAATTATTATAATGAATTGAATAAAACATTGTATCATAATATAAAAACACAAAACTCTGCTAAGAAAATAATGGCCTCTTAAATACATTAAGATCTTTGTACTGTCAAATGTATGCATTAAAAAATAAGTTACTTTAAAAAAATACACATAAGGAATCAAATGAGATCAGGTGGTTTAATCTTGACTGAGCTCTTGGTCATAAAGAATCTTCCAGTGTGAGCCCTCCATTGTGACAGAACTGAAGGTGTTTTAGCATGGGAGTCTTCTTGAAGCTAAGAAGTCCTTTTATCAAAATATGACTTCAAAGTTCTTTTGAAAAATTCTCCAAGACTGGGCTGATCTGGTTTTCATTTTCTTGGCTCCAACAGCAATGAAACCAAGAACTATGAGCAGCCTGCTTTCTAGGGTTAGGCTGGTCAGGCATAAGATATTCTGTCCAGACAGTGCAGTGATCTGAAGGCCTGGGGTAAGAGGAGCCCTGACCTAACTAAGCACATAGCCCTCTGTATTTGCCTGTATTTACATCACTCCTTCCAGCTCAGGTGGTCAGGGATCGGGAGCTAATTTTAAGATTAGCCAGATGTTTCAGTTGGGGAGTTCCAGTGTATCCACAAGTATTGTGAGCCCCTTTTCTCTTTCTTGGGTTCTGTTGAGAGTGCTGTGTTTGGTACATTGCTAGAAAAGAAGCCACTTTGTGTAATCCTTTGACTGTGTTATTTAACCTCCACAAATTGTTTCCTAGGAGCATGTCTATGCTCAGTCAATTCCAGTGGTTTTGAAGGTAGTTTCCATGCACCAGGGGACATATGGATGAGTTGGTGGGTTTTTTTTTTTGTTGTTGTTGTTGTTGTTTTATAACTTCTTAAAAGTTCTAACATAATTCTTCTATTTACTTCATATACAGACATATCTTTTTTGACCTGGTGATGAGTGAAGATAACACATGCATTCCAGCTCAGTGACACTTTTTAATACCCTAAATAAAATGAGATTTAACTGTAATATATAAGTAACATCTTTTGATATGTTAAGTGCAACAGATTCCTCTACTTTGCAAATAAGGAAATACCTTTCTTCATTAGTTTTTTTGTATGGTGTCATATTTTAAGTTGGCTTTTTTCCATTGAATGTCAGATAATCTGATGTTTCAAGGAACTTTTTTGGGGGGATTGATGATTGGAGTTAAGCTGACATTTCTTATTTAGTAGAAGAAGTCAAGAGCAAATTGTGTCTTTATGCCTTCACATATAGTATTGGTCAATGCATTCATCATTTGTTTGTCATACAGTTAGTGAGCACATACTACATGCCAAATGGTATAGAATGGTTGCTTGTCTTTCCTACTGTTGATATTTTCTGGGCAGAAGCTTGAGAGTTAGGATGGATGCCAGATGTAAAAAGGACACCATTAATGTTTGTACTCTTTTTTTTCTGTATATGTGCAAAGCACCAATATATAGAAATTGTGGTAAATATAATAGTAAACTTGTTTATGCTGACTGCCTCAAGAATATAGTTGCATGCCCAATCATAGTATCTTTTATCTGTGGTTGATATATTTGATTTTTTCACTCTTGTTACTTTTGGTCTTATTTCTGTGTGGCTAATCTCATCATTCATGTGTCTTTAAAAATTGTAAGTAATAATCTAAAATTGGTTTTGAAAAGTGTGAAATGTGAGTAAATTAATAGTAAAGATTAAGTATGGTGCCAAATGCTAATCTTAGAAAACTAAACATTATATGTTACATAAGGGCATTATGGTTATACTTTACTGGCCAAGCCCTAAAATATTGCTAAAATTTAACATATACAAAGTCGTTTCAGAGACTGTACATTTTTTTCAAAAGACCATATGGGATTCTAAATTTAATTTTTTAATAATTATTATAGAATGACTCTTATTACAGATATTCTTTGAGTTGCTTTCATAGGTTTTTATATTGTTAATTGCAATTCACTTTTGAATAATCCTCGAAGTGAAAAAAAACTTGTTATTTAAGTAAAAAAAAACCAACTTGTTATTTAAGCACTAATTTCTTAAAATTTGGTTTTATAAACACCATGAATTACACTGTTATCTGCTTTTTGAATTTCATTTTTATAAGTCTTCCTCTTACTTTGAATTCCCAGACTTCCTCAAACAGTTCCCCAATTCAGCATTTCCCAGTTTTCTTCAGAATACTAGAATATGAAGTATAAAAGCTGATCATATCAGCACAGTGTGTTACACTGAGTCCTGGGTTAGAGCCCGAGGAGATAGAAACTAAAATAGCTTATTCAACTCCCAAACATTATATGGTTACAGTATTGAAAAGGACACTGTAACAGATAATCAGATTATTTATGGCAGGTGTCCAATTGTTATTCTTTCTTCAGAAGAGGAAGTACTTTCTGTAGAATGTTATAGGTTAAGATTTATGCGAATTAGTCTTTTTTGAAATGCATTTTTCTGTTTAATTAGACTATAAAGATTTTACATTAAATTAGAGAAGAGAGATTAAAACAAAGCAAACTTCAAAGTTGATTGGATGAGAAATATTTATGTCTTCTTGGACTAAATTATTTTAAACATGGGCTATCTGGGAGCCAATTGCTGTGGCTAGGCTTCAGGAAGACATTGCTGCCCTAGTAATTAACATGCCAAATCTGGTTGTGACCATATTTCTCTAAAGACAGTTCATTGGAAAGGTATGGGTTTCTTAATTGGATAATTTCTTAAGTGGATAATGTGTGATTTATAAAAAAATCTGCCTTGTAAATTATATAAATATTAAATATACAGATAATATACAATAATTTGCTTTAATGTATTATACATTTGAATTTTGATACTTTCTTATTAAGTTGCTCTGTTGACCTCTTAATATAATTCATGTTTTCTTCTATTCTTTTATAGGGCTCTTTTGATTCTAGATCAGTATCGAAAGAAGTCAAAACTTTTCCGTACTAAAGTTCTCTTGGCCCCACTTGGAGATGATTTTCGCTACACTGACTACTCAGAATGGGACTTACAATTCAAGAATTATGAGTATCTTTTTAAATATATGAATTCTCAACCTCAGTTGGGAGTAAAGGTAATGGAAGATATTTATTTATAACACTGTTTTCAAAGTTGAGCCCTCAGTGTTCATTGAAGCTATAACACCATATTCTTAGTTTCTTTGTACTGCATCTTGGCATTTCTTAGACTATATAATTCTTATGTAAAAGTACAATTCATTAAGAAAAAAATTATCATATACCATAGTTCAATTTCTAAAGATGACTCTTAACACTCCTTGGGAATTATAGAGGCATTGCTTTTATGTGACTGAAAGTCTGTACTTACTAAGTTGCAGTTTCCATTTTGCAGAAATGCCCTATTTTTCTACCAGCATTGAAAGGTTATTGCTCCTCTATGATAGTTGCTTCCTTCTGATTTAGTAGTGTGACTAGCATTTGTAGATGAATAGATCATGAATTTTGCAAATGTCTCATATCCAGAAAATACACAACCTTTTTTCTTAAGTGAGAAGATTTCTAAAATTAATAGTTTGCCTGTGGTTCTTGCTTTTTTTTTTTAACCTTGTGGAAAATTTGAAATGCACCCTTAAGTTTTGAGAATAGCACAGACAGCTCCCTTCTCTTCATATCCTGGCTCTACTTCAATATGTATCAACTGAGATCACTCTTTTTTCACCTCTGCCCCACTGTTGTCTCAGCCTTATCCCAAGATCATGTTGGAACAAATCTCAGTTGTTATGTACTTTTCGTCTGTAACTACTTGAGTATGTATCTCTTAATGGTAAGGATACTTATAAAGATTATAAGCATAATACCATTATCATATCTTAAAAAATTTAGTAGTAATTTGATAATATAATATATCTGGATAGATTTGCATTTTTCTTATCTCATTAAAAATGTGTTGAGTCAAAATTCATAGAAGACATATATTTACATTTGGTCAACAAGTCTTTATATTTTATTTTATTTTTTTAATTTTAAGATCCTATGGGAGAAAATTGATTATTCAACATGTTTATTATATTTACATATTTACCTATAAGATAGAAGATCTATGAAAATACTATAGAAAGGAATCAATATTATTATGTAGAAAATTAGAAAGCTAGAGGTAGACCACAGTTTATGTAGTAAGAATTTAATTTATTAAATAAACTTATGTAATATCACATAGATAAACTTAAGTCAAATACTAAGCCTATTCAAGATATTTATAACTAAATTTCTACCAGTTTGGGAGATCTGAACATAGGGACTCTGTTTAAATCATCTGTGTATTCTTCTCAAAGGCAAAGTTCAAACATGAATATCTGATCAGAGGGGGAGGTATAAATGTGAGAATGATTTGGAGTCCATAGAAAGGTCTGGTCTTCTGTCTGACTCTGAAGAGTTAGATCCTAATTTTATTATTTCACTATTTCTTCCTTTGTATGCCCACTATAACAACTTATTAAAGTAATTTTGAAAATTAAAGTATCACACACATAGAAGAAGTGTGCAAACCCTAAGTGTGTAGATAATTTTTCCAACTTCAAAACCCCTTTATAACCACCACCATAACAAGGGCTAGGACAGTCATAGCACCTGAAGCAGTTCCTCAGGTCCACTCTTGGTCACCACTGACTCCTTCAATAGGAGCCACTATTGTCAAAGATACCACTTGTTCCTAAATTGTGTTGGAAAGGAATCATAAGTGTGTACTTTTCTGCTTCTGTCTGTTTACTTGTTTTTAACACTTTATACACTCTCTAATTTGTTTGATGAGTATACCAAGTTTTATTCTTTCTGCTATTTTTGGACATTTAGGTATACCCCCCCCCCTTTTTTTTTTTTTGTCTATTACAAATAAAGCTACTTGAACATATCTAGCATGTTTTAGTCACCTATGTATGAGTTTATGTGGGTGTAAAATGGATTAGGATTTTTTTTTTTTATCATTTTGTGTATGCTTGTTTAAGTTTAGTGGATAATGCCAAGTAATATGCCAGCATATCAGTTGTTTTATTGTATGACACACTTTGTATTGTCACAGTATTTTTCTTTTCATTTGTGTGCTTTTGGCAGATGTGATGGTTTTATTTTGTGTTTCCCTGGAGATTAATGAAGTTTGACCCTCTTTTCATGATTATTGCCATTTGTGATCCTATTTTGAGAAGTTCCTATTTTATTCTTTCAGTAAAATTTAAAATTAAATTGGGTTATCTGTTTTTTTTTTCTGTTTATAATTCTTTTATCTGTTGTGGATTGAGTCTTTTTTTTTCAAATAAAAAGTTTCACAAATATTGTCTCCTGTTAAGTAGCCTATGTTTTTAACTCTCTGTGTTGTCTTTCAATCAACAGAAATTCCTAATTTTAATTAACTTAATTTAACAATATTTTGTTTTATGGTTAGTGCTTGTTATGTCTTATTTAAGAAAATTTTATTTACTCCAGGATCATAAAAATACTTTTTGTATGAAGTTATTCTTACAAACTATTATTTTGCTTTTAACATTTCATTCAGTAGTCTGTATGAAATGTAATGCTGTTCATCATTCGAGGTGGGACTCAAGATGCATGTTTGCTCATATAAGGATATACTTTTTTTTGAAAAGTCCATAGTTTCCTGCATTGTACTGCAACATCAAGGATATTAATCATAAGCGAGACTATGTGTGGGTCTGTTTCTAGTCTTTCTTTTGCTAATCTCTAGTCTTTTTTTGACTAATCTCATGCTGTCTTTATTACTATAGCTTTATAAAAGGTCTTAATATCTGATAGTATTAATCTTTCAACTTAGTTCTCCTCAAAATTCTGTTGGTTATTCTTAATTCTTTGTAGTCTGTATAAGTTGAGCTCAATGTTTTAATTTCTACTAAAAAACTAAAATGGTGGCATTTTAGTTGGCATTACATTGGATCTGTGGTTCAATTTGAGTATAATTAACTTCTTTACAAATATTGGGCCTTCAAGAGCATGGTATATTCTATGTATAATAATATAATTGGCTTTTGCAATTTAACCTGTTATCCAGTAAATTTGTTTATTTTATTTTTAAGTTTTAATAGTGTATGGATTCTTTTTGAATTATCTATGTGTGAATAATGGTATTTTTTTTATTCTTTTCCAAAACTTCATAACTTTCAGTCTGTCTTCTTGCCTTTGCAAATACCATATTTGCAAAGGTGAGAGTAAACATACTTTTCTAAGGGAAAAAACATTCAGTATTTCATCATCAATCATGATGTGTGCTGTAAGACTTTATAGACTCCCTTATCAGATTGAGGAATTTATGTTTTTCTCATTTACAGAGTTTTTTTTTTTTTTAATAATTAGTCACTGAATATTATCAATTGCATCTGTTAGGGAATGTTTTCTATTAGACTTTTATGTCTTGTGTAATGACTGGATAAGTGCCCTAAGATGAAAATTTGGGAGAGTGTAGGATTCATTTGATGCATTTTGACTTTCTCCAAAATTTTTATCCTGACTGGTTTGGTTGTCTTTGAAATTTTTGACTTTTTTCTTTGTCCACACAGTTTATATAGTTATATCTCTGGAATGTTCTGCAGATTTTTTTTCCAAACTGAGAATGTACACTTACTATTTTAATGAAAGGAAAGGAAGAACACACATAATTGAGTTTAGATGGCTAAAAAAAAAAAAAAAAAAATGACATTGGGGCTAGCCAAGACAGCTGGTTTGCCATCGATCATCATTTAACAACTATTTTTCCTGTATAGTGTTCTGATAGAAGTGTTTTATGTTTAATATTGAATTTGTTTCACCTTTTGGTGTAAAAATCATTTAAATATTTTTCTTTGATTATTTTTAGGTGTCCTATATATTTACTTTTATGAGCTACCAGAAAACATTATGGAAAATTTTACTTTTGAAACTATTCTAACATAGGCAGAGGATATTTTTCAGTCCTTAAAAATTGAATGAAGTTTGTGAGAAAGCTATTGACTACTTATCTAGATTTCTGAACATTACTTTGGGAAATTGTCAAATAGGAAATGTTTCATCCTGGCTCATTCCAATATTAATTGAGAAATTTAAAAGGATACAGTTCAGTGTGACTATCAGGTTTGTCATGTCATGAATTCCTAAAGTTTGAAACTCAAAGGGATTTTTATTATCTAAATTTTTTTTTATTAGATAGATGAGAAAAGTAAGATTCATATATATTAGATCATTGAATATTTTACCACTATTATTGTGTATACATCTCTGAGCTTGTCTGTACCTATAAGGTAGGAAATGAATACTATTGTTCCTTGTATTTGTGTTCTCATTTCTTGTATGGTTAAGCATACATAATTATATTCTGCTTCTTAGTAATTTTGTTGAGTGAGCAGTAATACTTATGAGTTAAAATATATTGAATGCTTTTATTATTTGACATTAATTTTCATTTAACTTTATTCTCTGAACATTTTGGTAGGTATCATGATTATTCCCATTATAGGATAAAGAGACTGAAGCACACTAATTGATGAACTTGCCTAAGATAACACTGTATTTGGTGAAACCAAAATAAGAATAGATGATATAAGTGAAAAATGCTTATCTTTAATAAAAACATAGGGATTTAGTAGCAATCATCTATTTTGCTATAATGAAATTTATTATGACACAATTTGACTGTAACAACTTGTATTTCCCTTACTATTATCATGTTGTAAATGTTTCCAGTTGGAATTTTGTCTTAGCAATAGAGAAATAATAGCTAAAACCTACACCATTATTTTCCAGTCATAATTCTAAGCTTTTTACTTAGAACTGTATTTTCCATAACACAGAGGCATTATGTAATATCCTTAAAGCCATATTAAGATAAGTGGTAGAGATAGGACTTAAAATCTTGCCATTGTATATTCAGTCATAAAACTTCATAGTGTGTGTGTGTGTGTGTGTGTGTGTGTGTGTTTGTGTAAGAAATAATAAAATCAGTATCTTATTACTTAAAAACACATTATCTGTTTTATAATCTATTTTTAACATGAGTACCTTTTAAATATCTGTTTACAAGGTCTGGTATAATGTTCCTTTCTTTGATTTGTACAATAGTTTGGACTCATAAAAATGGATTTATGTACTGGTAATTTATATCATTAGTTAGAATCACCTGTTCATTTGAGCAGTCAACCTTGCAATTTTTATCATGTAATGTTTCACTCAGTGCAGAGAAAATGAACTTTTAAAATGACCTCCTGTTTTTAAAGTCTGTCCCTTTTTCCTTATAAGAACTCATAGTGGGGGCCTAGGTGTCAAGAAGAGGCTATGATATATGAAATACCTTGTGTCTAACAAAACTGTTCTTCCAGACTTCTGGAACATTTTGCTTAAAACGTGTATCTTTTATTTTTTTGTGATCCATCTTTCATTCATCTGAATTACTCCATGCCTGGATCTTTGAGCACTTCAAAAATCTTAAAAATATGTAAGGAATTTTCCTAAATTCTTGAACACTTCAAAACCTTGAAGATATGTAAGGAGTTTTCATTTACACAAATTTTTAGATCTAAATAGTTCTCCTAATTTCCTGACTACTTAGATGTTCAAGTTTTCTCTTAGATAAATTTAGGACTTGATGCAAGTAAAAGAAACAGCCACTAGTATTTTTCCCCATTTTTGATTTTTGTAAAATCTGAACTGTATGTTCATTTTGGAATTACAGCTTGCATAGTTATTATTAACTTTTCATTTCAGTATAAGAAGTAAACAATTTTAAAGTATCAATAATTAAATTATAACTTTTTGTTTTTACTAGATACAATTTGGAACTTTATCAGATTATTTTGATGCTGTGGATAAAGCAGATGAAGCTATGAAAAAGAAAGGCCAATCAATGTTCCCTGTTCTAAGTGGAGATTTTTTCACTTATGCAGACCGGGATGATCATTATTGGAGTGGCTATTTTACATCCAGACCCTTTTACAAGCGAATGGATAGAATCGTGGAATCCCATTTAAGGTATATTTACCTTTAACTTCATTTCTTTCACATTATCATAGCCTTTTTTTTAGAGTTTTGTATAATATATATTGTTTATATAGTGCTATATGGTGCATTTAATCTAATTAAAACATTTTAATGCAATCAGAAATATGTCTCCAAAGTATGATCATATTATTACAGTGGGTTTTTGTTCTGGAAGGAAAAGTGGCTTATATTGTTCTAAGTTGAATTTTCTTAAGTTGAGTTCTGTGTTTTGTATTTTTCTAATTAATTTTCTTGTATTGTTTGCATACCATATTAGTATTCATGACACCATCATGTGTTTCTGCAGGCCAGTGATCTGGCAGACCCAATTGTTAGAAACATAGATAAGCTTCAGATAAGCAAATGGGCCACCCAGCAGCCCAAAGTGGGTTTCCATGTGCATAGTCTAAAACTGATTTATTTTATATATGGGAGAATTGTAGAGGCTCTATTTTAGTTTATTTATAGAAACACATTTCTAGGCAAGTGCTCTACCACTGAGCCACAACCCCAGCCTTATAGAAACACATTTCTGTAGGCATTATTTTCAGCTTAGAAGAACACAATTTGAAAGGGATGAGAATCAATAGGAGAGGCAGAGGAATTTGTTGAAAAAGTAAACTGATTCAGAGAAGATTTAAAAAGTCAATAGAAAATATAAAAACATTGAAACAGTACCATCCAGTAGAAATTTGAATTACTGTTTAGTAGAATGACATGTCTCCAATGACAGGTTCTATTCTCCATTGTGCACTATGGTAGCCATAACTACTGAGCACTTGAAATGTGATCAGTGTGATAGAGGATTATTAAGAATTATGTGAATTCTTAATTTCATCTTTTTTATTTTCTGCTACCAGGGATTGAATCCAGGAGTGCTTAATCACTGTGCCATATTCCCAGTCCTTTTTAGTTTTTATTTTGAGACAGGGTCTCTCTAAGTTGCTTATTAAATGTCTATAGCTGGATGTCTACCATATTAGGAAGTATAATTCTGAGTAATTGATTCTGACTTTTTTTTTTTTTTGGTAAAATTAAATTATACCAGAGGCTCCCAAGATTTTGTCACTGCATATAACCCAGTAGAGTAATTCATTTTTATGATGAATCTTAGTATTAAAAAATAAATTTGGGGGCTGAGGATATAGCTCAGTTAGTAGAGTGCTTGCCTTGCATGCACAAAGTCCTATGTTCAACCCCTAGCACCACAAAAACAAACAAACGAAACAACAAAAAACAAATTACAACAGGCTGGGTAGTGTATTCCTGTAATCCCAGCAACTCAGGAGGTTAAGGCAAGAGGATTGCAAGTTTGAGGCCAGCCTGGGCAATTTAAAATTAAAAAAAAAAAAAAGACTTAGTTCAAGGCTAGCCTAGGCAATTTAGAGAGACCCTGCCTCAAAAAAAAAAAAAGAAAGAGAGAGAGAGAGAGAGAGAGAGAGAGAGAGGAAGAAAGGTATAGCTTAGTGGCCGAGCACTTGCCTAGTGTGCATGAGGCTCTGTTTTTAGTCCCAGCATAGCAAATAAAAACAAAAAAACAGCAAGTTAAATTTTACCTATCCTCTTTTATATACTTGTGGGTTCTGTTTTTAAAAAGCCTTTTAATAAAAATTGTTAATTTCTTCAAGAATTTGCTTTGGTATATCAGTGTCTGTTTTTGTCATGCTTCTCTTAACAGTATTTCAAAATCCCAACATTTCACTAGTATTTGGGATATAAGAGAGGAATATATCCTATATTTATAATAAAATAGAGCTCATAAATTTTAGAAACTTGGAATGATCAGTTATCTGTCATATTACTCTAAATTTTCTATAATGAAATAGAATAAGTACTAAATAATATAGATTCTTTCAGCCCACTGAATTAGTGATTTTTAAATGTGAAGCATTTTTTTAGTGGAAAAGAATTATAAATAAATTTATTAAATATATTCAAAGCTACAAATTTATTTTGAATATTCTGCTTTAAAACAAAACAAAGCAAAAAGGTATACACTAGTTTTGAATTTCCAAATGTATTAATTTATTTGCAAATAAATTTATTTCCTGAAAATAGTAATATTTCATCATCATTTATAAAATTAAATAAAAATAGAAGAGTATAAAGAATATTTTGAAAATCTGTTTAATATTGTGGTTTATATATTTGTATGTACTCTTTTCAAAACCAAGAATATTTGCCATGGATGTATATGGACATACATACAACCTTTACTTCATTCCACCTGTTGATTCTCATACTATGATTTTTGTAAGCGTTAGAATTTTAAAGTGGAGATTATTTACTGTCTTTTATTTATTTCTATGATTTCGAGAAATCCATCATCACTTTTTATAAAGCATCTCTAATATTTTTTTTCCTGAATCTTGATACATTTTTTAAACTTGCCTTGATTTTCTCTCCATTGAGCTTAACCTGTTTAGCCCATAGTACCTTCTTCTTTTTTTCTCTCCATTAAGCCATATCTCCTTTTAAACACTTTTAAAGAAGCATATCTTTTTTGATTAAAAAAATAAATAAATGACAGCAGAATGCATTACAATTCTTACTACATGTATATAGCACATATCTCTGATTGTGTATAAAGTATGTTGACACCAATTCGTGTCTTCATTTTGGATGATGATGTCCATCACATTCCACCATCCTTGTTAATCCCCTTCCCCCTCCTTTCCCTCCCACCCCTCTGCCCTATCAAGAATTCGTCAATTCCTTCATGCTCCCTCTCTCTACCTCACTATGAGTCAGCCTCCTTATATCAGAGAAAATATTTGGCATTTGTTTTTTGAGGGTTGGCTAATTTCACTTAGCATTATCTTAAAAGAAACTTATCTTGAACTGTCTCTTATGATGTAAAAAATAAAGGTGGAAATCATGAACTTTATATTCTTGACCCCAATCTATTCTGAAAGTTTTTTTTTTTTAAATTTCTTCTGTAGGGTAAATGAGAAAAACATCCTATTTATTACTTTTCATTTCTCATTTGTTTTATGTTATTTAAAACTGAAACTTGCCGTTGTCCCTGAGCTGCTATTGAGTATCACTTCCTGCACCTCTCAGCATCTGACTCTCAGTACCATGCAGTTTTTCCTACCATCACTTCTCTCTTTGTTTTGGTAAGGAGGATTGAACTCAGAAGCACTCAAAACACTGAGCCACATCCCCAGCCCTATTTTTGTATTTTATTTACAGACAAGGTCTCACTGAGTTGCTTAACACCTTGCTTTTGCGGAGTCTGGCTTTGAACTCATGATTCTCTTACCTCTGCCTCCCAAACCTCTGGGACATTGCTTCTCTTTTTATTGTACAGGATTAAGAATAAATGTGTTCTGATGATGTTCCTGGTCTGTATCTTGGAGAACAGAAGGGAAGAGATATTTTTCAATTCTTTCTGCTATATACAGAGATTTTTTTCCCACTGTATAAAACTTTCCATATATATATATAAACTTGCCCAATTTATATTGTCAGCTACCAACAGGGGCTGACTTCTTTCTAAGATTCTCTAGAACAAGGACCTCCAAAATCAGTATAACATGTTGGTCTTTGATGATTGAAAATTTGAATAATTGGTGGTTTTGTAAAAATTTTTATCATTGGTATCTTTTGTATAAATTCTTTGTACTGAGATTGTGGAATTTTTTAAAAACACATTAAAAAGTATCAGTGTAGGCCAGACATGGTGGCACACATCTGTAATCCCTGCACCTCATGATGCTGAAGCAGGAGGATTACAAATTCAAAGCCAGCCTCAGCAATTTAGAAAGGCTCTAAGCAATTTAGCAAGACCCTGTGTCAAATTAAAATATTAAAAAAAAAGAAAGAAAAAAGGCTGTGGATGTGGCTTAGTATTTAAGAAACCCTGAGTTCAGTCCCTGGTATCAAAAAACAAAAACAAACAAACAAACCCGACCAACCAAACAAACAAAAAAAAAAAAAGAAGAAAAAAAACAATGTAATAGATTATACACTAAAATGTTTTTTTAAATAAAAACTAATGATTTTTTTATGCAATTAGGGCTGCTGAAATTATTTACTATTTCGCCCAGACACAAGCTCAGAAATTCAAGATAAATAAATTTCTTTTATCAACATATTACACGGCAATGACAGAAGCCAGAAGGAATTTGGGACTGTTTCAACATCATGATGCTATCACAGGAACTGCTAAAGATTGGGTAGTTGTGGATTATGGTACCAGGTAATGTAATTATAGAAAAATAGTCTTTAAAAATCTTTTAAAATTTTGAGTTTAAAATTATGACTTGAGATGGAGCTATTAATGCATATCAGAATACATATCAGAACATAATAATAATATTCCTTCTAAGTATTGCTATTGCAAAATTTTCAAGGCATTTTTTTCACAAAATCTAGTGAGGCATCCTGGCTACTCCAGTTTTTGATTACAGTGCATTTCTCTAAATAGAGTAGTAAAATATTATTATAAAACTGATCCTGTTTTCTCCTAAGTACAGCATGATAATTGGGGTTATCTTCTTTATCAAGGATTAGGCATCAAATAAATCATCATTAAAATCCAGGGAGATAAAGACCCTCCCCTTCATTGTATATAAAGCAGGTTAATTAATCTCATCCTATTTCATATTCTGTGGTTTTTGGATATTTGACTTGTTTTTAAAGGCACACTGACCAAAAAAAAAAAAAAAACAGAAATGAGGAACATAATCAGGAAAGAGTATCTAGAAAGTATGTCCTATATGGATGATGTAATCAATTGGGAATCAGAAGGGTGGCTTGGGTTTTTTGATTTGATAACAAATCAAAGCCATTGTCCACTCACCGAAGAGCTAAGAAAAGTAAGGGATTAGAAGCTCAGTTGTGTCTGTGTTAAAGAATTAGAAACAAAGAGGACAGACTTTGACTTGGAAAGGCTGAGGATTTAGTGAACAATGCTTCCCAATAGTGGAAAAGGTGATAGTGAGATCTCTGTTATGCTAGAGTTTGGATCACTGTTTATTAAAACACTGCATAGAGGATTCCCATATTGAAAAATGAATTATGACTGTTGTTCCGCCATAGCAAAGACTGTTACTTCTTCCAGATTTTTTTTCTTCGACAGTGCTATGCTTTGATAATATATTAAAATGTGCTGTGATTTTGTTATAGATTTAAAAAGTGATTGCTTTTGTGAAAAATATACAGAGCTTATAAAATCAACATTAAAAATTGATCTACAACTGATATTATTAATCATAATTAAGTGTTTAAGTTTTTAGTTACAATATTTTACTAGTTTTCTAGGAATCGGGGGAAAAAGATTCTTGAGGCTTCATTTTCTCACTTAAGTTAATCAAAAGTAAATTCAAGGTAATATCTTGAATATCTTCATTTTTTTGATAAATATACTTTCTTCAGCATATTGTTTATGTTGAGGTCAAGCTGGTCTTAAGGTAGACAACTCATTAGATGATAGTGATATTGGTATTCCTGCTATAGAAAGCATTTTTGAAAGCAGTGTCATATCCTTCATTTTTCCTATTCACTGGCTTCTGCCTCCTTGGTATTGAGAGTTAAAAGTCAGGCTTGGAATAAGACTAGGACAGAGCTCCTAAGAAGACGTGGAGAAGTCACTCTACTACATTGCTACTTGCTCTCTCTGGCTGCCATATTAGACATTTAAGTACAGGTCCCTGAGTTTTGTTACAGAGCATGTCATTAGTTCCTAAATATGTTTTATATTGCTCTTAGCTTTAAAACAACAACAAAAAAAAAAAAAAAAAAAAAAAAAAAACACACACACAAACAGCCCCATAGAGAATTGTATGTTAGAGAAAAAAAAAGACATAGTAATTCTCAAATTGTACTTGACATTTGTAAATTTGCTTTGCAAGTACTTCACACTTCAGTTGAAAAGTCATAAACAATTATCAGATCATTAGCACATTTTAAGGAGGAAATTCAAAACACAAGTTAGAGAATTACCGAGAGGCAGCTCACATTTTCTCTGTACATGGACTGTTGAGTACTGTACATTCAAACATTGGCTAAAGATTGGGTACAAGTATATGAGTTAGGGATTACATTTGACTGCTAGTAATAGCAAGCCCAAACAGAATAAATCTTGTCCTGATTGTTAGTATGTTATGTGAAAGAAGTTAGCAGGTAACTGGGTTACATATGACGGTTCCTTAATGTCAGAGGGGATCCAGGCCCCTTCTATCTTTCCTCTGCCATTCCAGAATAACTCAGAATCATGTTCTCAACAGTAGTATATCAATGTTTATATACAACTATAAACTACAGGACAAGACTACATCATGGCATATTTTGAGGTTAATTCTAAATTGTGGCATGAATATATAAATTAGAGACAGTGTTTATAATGGATGTTCAGCTTAAAAGTAGAGAGTGAGGCTTAGCTGAAAGGAGAGAAGAAATAGTAATGAGAACAGTTACAAAAGGTTTTAGAATTCTTCCCCTTTTTTATTCCTAAGTTGTAAATAATGTAGGTTGGAAAAACTGAACAACAGCTGAGCATGAGGGTCCTAAACATACAGATCAAACTGTTGAATGACAGACATGATGCCATCTGTTTAAACAACAGCAGTGACAGCAAACTAGAAAGCTGTGATTCCTAAGTGATTTTCCCTGAGTAGTGTTCCATATTAATAGGGTAAGTGCATGTTTGAAAGTTAGAATCTCTGAGAAATTCCATATACTAATAAAATGATTTAACATTTAAAATTTTCTTTCATCCAGTGTTTCTCAAACTTATTTACTGTTCCATTTTCTTTGGTTTTAAACAAAACAGTTTTATGTGTCCTGAGAAAGCATTTGGGACATGTTCTGCTTTTTAGTGCGCATTGCATTAGAAGGTGGCATGTGCGCCATGTTGATTTGTGGCTTTCTTCAGTTTAATTAGGACTCTGTAATATATTGTTATATATGTGTGATTTTAGCTATAAGAGAATGTGACTTTTATTCTGTAGGTTCAGGCTGCCTAATGAGGATAACCATGTAGATAATAGAAACAAACTTAGGCTGAGGGGAGTTGTTTCCATCACTGATCTGTATTCATTTATGTGGTTGTTTAGTCTGGTGAAAACACTTAATAGTATTGGAAGTATTATAGTGTATTTGAATATACTGAAAAATTTAACTAGATAATGGAATGAATTCAAAACCATAAAATTTTCATATTACAGTTATAGATTTGCTGTGTAAATGTATTTAATTAATAACTTATTGATCTTGTTCTACAAAACAAAAGGTACTTCTAATTATTTTATTAACTTTGTTGTTGTTGCATGACAACAGAAATACTTGAAAGAACGGATTCCTGTATTGGAGAAAATGAGACAATGACTCTATAAGGATAATAAATGCATTGTGATGATTGATTGGTACACAATGAGGCTTCTCCATAGATTTCTCTATTGTGCATTTACTTAAGAATGCCCTATGTGTGAAGCCTTAAAGAAGTGTGATTAATTTTGAAACAAAAAACAGAACTTTAAGCAAGATGTTTTCCCAATATATATTTCTTCAGCAATGGCTGGTGATGTACTGAGGTTGTATTTCAGAACTGATCATAGATCAATAGACTCTTAAAATCCTTTAGTTCATCAGATATAAAATTAACAACTTGAAGACATTAATTTCAAGGGCCAAGAAAAATACCAAAAATGAAGACAATTTCATTATCCAGATAAATGAGAAACTCTTCTTCACAGTTCTCTTGTATGAGACTAAGATCGACAAAATATCACCTTTAATTCTTGGGAAATGGTTTTATACTGATTCATGTTTTATTTCATCACTGTTTTAACTTTGTTGAAGTTTAAAGTAAAAGAGAAAATTATTGCTTTTTGGTAGACTACCTTATAGTTTTTGGGGTGATCATACTGGGTATTCTTACTATATGAAATGGTAGTCAAAGAAAGTATAAAAAGTTTGAATAAGGTAATATGTTTCAGGTGTAAACTGCTGGGAGCCATTAGCCAAGTAAGTAGGTATGACAATTTCCTTGCCAGCGTACCCCATGTTGCAGTGACATTGAATGTACGTGACCTTGCTCAAGGACCAAGGCAGATTAGGGTGTTCCGGGTTTTAAGATAATCCTGTTTAGGGCGTTCCCAGTTTAGGTTCCAGGTTTAAGGTTTAAGATTATTCCTGCTGGGAATAGGGCGTATCCTGCTGCCTGAGTTCCCCTTGAGTTCTCACGGGATTTAGACAATATATTTTGGAGATAGAAGCCCAGTGGAGGTGGATTTGGGCAGAGAACGTGGATTTCCCCAGAACGTGATTGTAGACGGCTGGTGTGAGTTCGGGAATAAAGAGTTGCTGTTTGAATCTACAAGCTGTGTGGTGGCTCGTGATTGTGTGCCCAGCCAGACTGGGGCAGTAAACAAAATTTTTTTTATTTTAAATGAATGTTTAGCAGTGATAGTTTCTGATTAACCATTTTTTCCCCTAAGTCTCAGTTTTGGGGAACAGAGAGACACTTTGTTATATATTTATTATAGATTTCCTTTTGTGAACACAAAGATGATGGTATTGGTGGTATGACCATTAGTAAAGAAACTGAAAACAATGTTTGCATGGTTTTTAATTGTCAGACTAATAAATTTTTTGGTTTACAGACTCTTTCATTCATTACTTGCTTTGGAGAAGATTATTGGAGATTCTGCATTTCTTCTTATTTTGAAAAACAAACCCATGTTCGAGTCTTACTCATCTGATCCCCTCCTAGAGATGGTTAGTTGATCTCTTTTATTGTCATCATAAAAATTTATGATTCTTTAGTTCTTGGATTAGAAAATGGAATGAGAAATGATATTGAATGAAAAATTATATCGAACTCAAATGATTACTTTGCACATTATTTAAAAGAATTTATCACTTGATACAATTTAACTGCATATTCTTCTTTTCTATAAGTGTATCTGCACTTTGTTTCTAATATGTATTTTGTTCTGACTAGATCTTAGACTGAAAAATAACACCATGAACTTATTTCAAGTTAAAAAATATAGATTTTTAGAACACTTTTAAGGTATATTGTAAGGCAGTTGTACAATGTAATTAGTTATTCTGTTTGGCTAAATTAGAAACCTCTTCATATTTGAATTTTTTTAAGTCCTGAACCTCTTCTTCTTCTTCTTCCTTCTCTTCTTCCTCCTCCTCTTTTCTTCTTCTTCTTCTAGTTGTAGTTGGACATAACACATTTATTTATTTATTTATTTTTATGTGATGCTGAGAATCAAACCCATCGCCTCACACATGCTAGGCAAGTGCTCTACCACTGAGCTACAACACCACTCCCTTTAACTGTTTTGGATAACCTTGAGGTTTGAATGGTATTCTGGTTTCTAGATAAGTCCATTGAATGCTATGTGCAATGCTTAAGTATATTAGCAGTAGGGTAGTGTTAAAGGGATTATGAGCTATTAGCCTCAGCCCTGGTTGTATGGTCCTTGAAAAAGTTACTTACCTTTTATGGGCCCTCATTGATTTATCGGTAAAATAGATGGTAATGTATGTCTTGTCTTGTCTGTCGTTAGGATCAGAAAAACTATTATAACAAAGTGTTCTGAAAGGTAGAACATGCTGTTCTGCAGCAGGAAAGACAGAATATGATTGAGTATAACCCTCTTTTAACTTCACTTAACTCAGATATTTTTATTTTAATCACTTATTTATTTTTGAAGTACTAGAATTGAACCTGGGGCACTCTACCACTGAGCTACATCCCTAGCCTTTTTTATTTTGAGATAGTGTCTTTCTAAGTTGCCCAGGCTGATGTCAAACTTGCCATCCCCCCTAGGTGCTGGGATTATAGGCATGTACCACTGCATCTCACATCAGATATTTTTAAATTAAAATTTGTTTATCATTAGACTCTATGATGAATATTGGGTTTTTGAATTTTATATGTAATTTGAGTTTACACATCTGGAATCAGAGATGCAGCTGTAATATTTTTATAGACTGATACTTGTAATCAAGCAATGATCATACATTTTCATTTTAAAGTAAAAGTTATAAGAAATTGACATATATTTCTTACAGATATGAAACATATGATAAAGAAGTAAAATAGTAAATCTTTTTGCAGAATTTTGTCTAGAATTCTGATTTGGTTCCTAAGTGGAATGACTCATTGTGTACTCTAGCTGTGATCATGTATGTTGTGCTTGAAGTCTGAACATATTTGTGTGCAAATGCATATACATATTCATAGATTATTTACTTTGAATTTTGATGTACATTATGTAGCTTGAGACAAATTTCTTTTTCCTGTTGTACGCTTTTAAAGATGTTTGCATAGTACTATTGCATAGCTGATTTTGTTTTAAAATAAAATAAATTATTTTTCACTTTTATAGAGTTCAATACAAAAATCACAAGATTCTCTGCCACAAAACCATGTAATAAAACCAAGTATACAGGAGCCAAGGTAAATTTGTAATTTCTTATAAATTTTTACCGTTTTTCTGACTGACTTTTTTTTTGGCTTTCATGCTTTGGTTTTTAGACAGCATGTATTTTGAGTTAATATTCAATTTAATCAATTCATTAATTTCCAAATTTCTGTTTGAAGAAATATATTTTCTTCCTTGACTCTTTCATGTTTAATTCTAGTAGCTAACACAGTGGTTGATACATTGCTAAATAAACTACTAGAAGAATATTTTCTAAACTGTAAAGTATGGTGTGTAGCTTGTGATTAAAAAATGCCCTCTGTAATTTTGATTACTTTCGATTATATCCTTTCATGATTAACCTTTCATGTCGTTTACTGGTTTCTATTAATCCCTAATCCTACTTTTGTTTTTATATATATACATAGACATGTGTGTATATATATATGTATATATATATATATATATATATACATATATATATAAATTATATATTAATATTATTGTTATATGTGTTAATATTACATGTTATTATTATTGTATATATTAAAATGCTGTCAGTTTTCCTTCTATAAATTGTTCACTAGAAAACTGTCATTTTGTTAGTCAGACTGCTTTGTTTTTAGCAACGTTAACTTATGCTAAACAAAGTGGTAAATTTGTTTATTAACAAAAACTAGGGCATTTAATTGGTGGCTACCTCTGATTTATAGAGAAGTGTGCTCTGTTTTTATTAGTCATTCTTTCACCACCAAGGTACCTATTTTTAATGGCTAAACATTATTCTGTCATGCAGTGCATCCGGACATGTAGCATGTTTTGTAGTGTAACTCTTTACCGTCTTAATTGAGGAATTGTCACCTCTTTAAAAATCGAAGAATGAAAAAATAATTTTGAAGAGTTCATGATTTTAATTAACTATGCTTTATTAAAAATAAATGGAATGAAATTATTAGATTATATTTACAACTGCTAGTAAAGTTGGGGTTTTGGTTAAGAATAGACTAATGCCTTAGTGGTCTAATTTTTTTCAGTAGAGATTTAAGACTTATACAGCTTAGACCTTAGAACAAGAGAAGTGATTTTTAGTAATTCTAACATTATCAGCAACATTACTGAAGTCTTAAAGCTTTCAGGCTGCAAGGTCATTGGATAAAAAAATAATGACACTGAAAGAAAGACCAATAATAAAATTTTAAAATATATCCTTAATTTTTAACTAAGCAATGTTTAATACATTTGAGGTTTTATGTCTGTATTATATCCCTAATAATCTAGAGTGTTGGTAGCCTATTTGGCTTTAGACAATCCTCCTATTAACTTTTTCTTTTTTTATGTTTTGTTGAGGGAAAGATCTTTTGATTTGCTTCCTGAAAGAATAATAAATACTTACTCTAAGTTATTTACACTCTATCTCTATCTCTTATTTTTGTTCGAGATACTTATTGGTGTGGGTGGGATGAGGTGGGCTGGGGTCAAAATGGGTCAAAGAAAGAAATATATTCCTGTAATTTTTTCCTTCCTTTAATGTTCTAACCTTCGCCAGCAATAATTGATAATTTATCCTTAGTTATGTTACAGGGAGAAATTCAGAAAATTATGGTATAATTAAGGAAACATTATCTTTGAACCTTAGTATGGAGGAGTTTTAATTATAGATAAACAAATAGAGTTCTAAAGGTTATTAGTAAAATGATTGCTTTTTAATATTTTTTTGTAAAACAGTTTGTGTTCAAATAATGTTCTTCCTCTTATTATTTTTTTTCTAGTGCTTTTCTATCAAATGTCAGTGCCATTTTCACAATTAGGTAAATTGGGGATCCTTCTGATTGTCAGATTCTTATTTTTATGTATTCTGTCCATTTTGTACTTGAGAACTTTATTAATAGAAGTTTTTATTTTTGGTTATAAAATCTACATTTAACTTATTAGCCACAAATTACTTTCATTACTGATTGTTTAGGAAAATCAGTGAAGAATAATGATAGTGACCTTTCAAATGGAATGTGTGCTGCACATTAAATAATTACTGATCTCAGTTATTATTTAGAGATTTTAGAAGTATGGCTGTGAGTCTTTCTCATATTCTTCTTAATTCTTCCATAATGCTCAAGGGCTTAGCTTTATTTTAATTATAAATATAGTTTTTATTTAAGCATCAAATTATTAACCTAAATAAACCATGTATTCACAATGACAGAGATATTCTTCCCAGGAGGGTGAAAATTTGGAGGGATTTGTAAAATATCTTATTTTTGTTAATATAAAGCACAAATATAGTATAAAACAGATAAATAGGTCATGTGAGGTATTAAAACTATATGGTGATTGATTAGAAAGCATACAGTTTGAAACAAGTCCTTAGTGATAATGTAAAAAAGATTGAGAAACACTAATTTAAACCCATAGGATTTAAATAGGTATAAATTATTTTATCATGGCATTGGCAACATTAATTATAGCTATAACCTAGTATAATATACATCTTTGTATTTAGTTCACTAGGTTATGTGAGCTATGTAATGTGTGAATTTTATAGTTTTTGTGTAGAATACACAGTTACTATTAAGAGTTAAAGTTAGGTCCCCTTGAGCAAGTCATAAATTGTCTAGCTGTAAAGAATCCTTAAACATAGTAGATGTTTTTGTTTCTTTACATTCATAATTTTCTACAGACACTGTTTACAAACAACTTAATAGAAAGACTTGCAAGATTGGGGACTTGGAAGAATTTAACTTTTAAGTAGAAAATTTGTCTTGGTTTGATTTGTTACTGTAACACAATACCAGGCTAAGTAATTTATAGTGTTCGGAAATGCATTTGGCGTATGGTATTGAAGCCCGAAAAGTTGAGATGGAGAGGCTGCATCTGGCAATGGCTTTCTGGCTGTATCATTCCTAGGTGGAAGGTGAAATGGCAGGAGAGCCTGCCAAAGAAAGAGGGTGGGGGAAGGTCTAAACCCATCATTTTATCAGGAACTCACTGGCAAGCTAACTAACCTGCTCTTGTGATAACCATTAATTCATTTATGTTGGGGGGCAGAGGCCTCGGGACCTAATCACCTTTTAAAGGTCTCACCTCTCAATATTGTTGCATTGGGGATTAAGTTTCCAATACATGAACATTGCAGGGGGTTGGGGGTAGGGGCACGTTTAAAACATAGCAAGCTGTTTCAGTTTGAGATTAATTTGTTCAAACTACTATTATAAATTTGCTTTTAAGTGCTTTTAATTTTTAGTAAGGTATTTGTTGGAAAGCTCTTCTATGCATCTATCTTTTTCTCCCTCCTTCCCTCTTTCCGTCCTCTCTCCCTCCATCTGTCCTGCCAAGAAAAGAGATTAACTTGAAAAGAAACCTATTACACTGTGAAGACACAATGAAAGTCAATGTTTTCTGGGCTTGGGGTGACTTCAGATATCAACCAGATATAAAAAGTATTTAATTTCATAAAAGGCACTCTATGCCCTAATGCCATATGCTTATTGAATGATTCTACCTTATTGACCTCCCAGCACTTAAAACTTAATTTCCTCTGATTTTCTTCATATATGCCTTTTGACTAATCTTGATTAATAGAATTACTGTCTTTTTGGTTGTCTCAGTTCTGTAACCCTAGAACTCACTTTGACCTCTGCCTTCTGTTCTTAAATTTCACCAATTGGAGTCTTTGGATTTTACTCCCATTCATCTCTGATATCCATACTCTTTTTCCTATTACTCTTTGGCTTTGCTTGGCCTATTGTAGTGGCTTCTTGCCCTTTTTGTGTTCAGTTTCTCTATGACCCTCATTATTATGTGTAATTATTAGACGAATCTACCCCAAAGCAGACCTCTGAGAAAGTTATTTTTTTGTCTCAATATTCTCCAGGGACTTATTGCCTATTGAAGAAAGTGTGACCTGATAATCAAATGTTTTAGTAGTCTATTGCCTAAGCAGACTATCCCAAAACTTAATGCCTTCAATACAGTTTACTATCTCTCCTGGAATTCTGTAGAATTGCTGGCCAGTTCTTGCTTAGGGTCTCTCATACTGTTACAGTCAATTACAGATTGGGAATGGAATTTCCCAAATGCTTAACAGGGCTGGGTCCAAGAGGACTCTCTCCCATTGCTGAATGTTGCTGCTGCTCATTGGCTGAGTTGAGTTGAACTGTCAACTACCTGTGCTCACACGTGGCCTCTTCATATGATGTGGCTTCCTTAACTGTGGTGGCACTTTCCGAGAATGAGGTCCAAGAGTTAGATACCTGAGAGTTTTCTGGGTAGAAACTTCAAGGCTTCTTAGGACCTCACATGGAAGTCCTAGAGGTCATTTCTACTACTTCTTTTGGTCAAGGAATTCACTAAGGTTAGCCAAGATACAAGGGGAAGGGAATTATTCTCTATTTCTTGGTGTGCGGAACATGTATAAAAAGCAGAGGGACTAATGACAGTCATCCTTGGAGACTGTCACAGGTGAACCACTGGCTACCAGGATTCCCATTTTTCCCATGTGCAAAAAAAATTCAGTCTCCTTCCAAGATGCCCATCCATTATGATGGTGGCCCCAAATTTTCATCTAAATTGGGGCTAGCCCTTGATGCTAGCTTAATTCTGCCAGTGTAATTATTTGAAGTTAATCCCACTAGATTGTAAACTCCTTGAGGGTAGAAACTATTCCTTTCATTTATTTCTACCAGTATGCCTGTGGTATTACATTCAACATAGTAAGAATTCAATATAAAGATTTTTTGGAATACATTTAATTATTGATTGAAGAGAATATGAAGTTTTAGACACCAGATATGCATAGTATGTGGCTCATAGTGTGTGTGAAAATGTGGCATCTGGTATATGTTCTCCCTAGATGATATTTGGAGGTTGGGTGCCAAAAGTGCTTCCTAGTGAATGAACTTATTAATACTACCTTCAAATAAAATAAATTGCAAATCAGTAGAACTTTGAATTTGTAGAGGTACATATTTGAGATTTAAAATGTTTAGGTTTCATCTAAACATCATTGCATTCTTATAGAATATCATCAAGATATCATATT